CTCATATGGAGTTACAAATGTCTGCAATTCTTCTGTCCACCTTTTGCTAATTGTAAAACAAAAAGATCTCCCCCAAAGTGATGTACTCTTTTCTCCTGGGGCCACCATCTAGTACAGAGATGTGTACGTAATGTTTTTGACCACAGCAAAGCTTTGTTTATGAAAACATTCCCATCTTCGAGGATACTATATATTCCCCACAAAGGAGGGCTTTGCCTGGTTAAATCCTAAATAACAAATCTATCGAAACAGATGAACTATCAGACTGCTCTGAGATTTTTATAGAACTGCAGAACATATTTTCTTTTCTGAAAATATTTAAGTAGGTAGTTTGGGTAAAGATAAAACAGTGAATAATCAGAAAGTATAAAACTCTCTTAAAACTAAATTAGGCTGTTGAGTTTATTCTGAGAAATTTAATAACACAATCCTGCTATAATATTTACCATGTTTTTTAAAATACTTCCAAGTGAACTTTTTTTTCAAAAAAAAAGAATGGTTTAGATTTTTAGAAGCTGATAAAAATGATCCATGATAGATTAGCATACTTACTTTTACCACCATTGCTATATTTTATTTAAAATTGAAATTACAACAATAATGATGGTGGATAATAAGTGGGAAAGAGAGAGTTAAATTGATAGGGACATAAGATCTAAGAAATACAACAGAACAAATGGAGGTTGATTTTTCGAGAAATCAAAAAATGTGCATAAAAATGTAGACACTAGGTATACATACCTACTTTAGGGAAGGTCAAAAATGCTGTCCTAAGAATTAAAAATTAAATGAGTAAGTATTTTAGAGAAAAAAAAGATTTTAAGTAGCCAAGGACATCTGAAGTTTGCAGCTGTTTTTACAACTAAGGCAGGAAAGAGTCTGAGTTGAAAGGTCAAAAATAAATTAAACCTGAATTCTTATACCACTTACAAAAATAAGTAAGAGGCAGATATTTGATTTCTAAAATTAGGGTAAAAATGTAAAATTCTGAACAACCAGCAATTTATATTTCCTTCACGGAATAAAAAATAAATGTTCAACTCCACCATTCTGTTTGCCTCCCGTGTCACAGGGTCACTTTTTGTCTCTGCCACTGTTATGGGTTGACTTCTGTCTTCCAAGAAGATATGCTGCAGTCCTAATCCCCAGTACCTCAGAATGTAACCTTACATGAAAATAAGGTTCTTGCAGACGTAATTAGTTAAGATGTGGTCATACTGGAGTAGGGTGGGTCCCTAATCCAATATGACTGGTGTCCTTATAAGAAACTGAGAGACATAAGGAGAACAAGGTGCGTGGAAGGAGGCAGAGGGGGAGTGATGCAGCTATAAGCCAAGGAGTGCCAAGGAACAACGGCCTCCACCAGAAATCAGAAAGAAGCAAAGAAAGATTCTACCCAGAGTCTCAGAGGGATCATGGCCCTGCTGGCACCTTGATATCCAGCTTCCATGAGCTTCCATGAGAGAATGGATTTCTTTTGTTTAAAGCCACCCAGCTTGTGGTAGTTGGTTATGGCAGCTCTAGGAAACTCATACAGCCATTGAATTTCATTATAAACTCAAGTTTTAGTAAAGTCTAAAAAGAAACAGGTTAGGTGAGCAATGTGGGGGCCGGGAAAACCTTACCTGCAACGTAGTCACCAAATCCAATGGTTGTCAAAGTGATAACCACAAAGTAAATGGCGTCCAGGGCACTCCAGCCTTCTATGTGCTTGAATATGATTGCAGGCAAAGCCACAAAGAGGACACAGCCAAATAGGATAAATATAATTGTTGAGATGATGCGAATCTTGGTCTGACTAACATTCCACTTCTACACACACACACACATGTACACATACATATAGATATATGTGGAGGAGAGAGACAGAAAGAGAGAGAGGGGCTGATTATTGGCATGCCCACAAAGTTTAACCTAATGCTGTTATCAGCAAATTAGCAAATAAGCATGTTATTTTATTCCCTTTTACTCTTAGTTTTCAATCATCTTTACTTATGAAAATTGGGAATAACATAAATAACTCAAAACAATCAATGCTAATAATGCTGCTGCTTTACTCTTACACAGCTTTACAACAGGCAAAATGCGTTTAAAAATAAACTACATTGCTCTGAGAATGCAGTTTTTAGATTTGCATCATTATTTGTTTATCTGAGCTACTTTCGAAATATTTCTATTTTATAGGCATACAACTGATCATGGACCACACACAATTCAGAAATGCATGAAAGTAGAGAAAACTGAAACAACAATTAAATATTTACAATTTATAATTGATGAACATTAATTTCATGAAGACTTTCCTCTGT